CCGTCGTTATCTCTGGGTGTTACACAGTTATCGTGTACACCATCTGGACCAAAAGTAAATCCCTCAGTTATCCTAAATCCAGAGGATCGACGTTCATATTAAAAGGTGTGTTATTTAATAGATTACTTAAATAAATAGAAGAACCTTTAAGAATATTAACAATTTTTTAAGTGAGAAGTAGCGAGAAATAATTGCTGCGTGCTGATTCAGGCTTAGTAACCATTATGATCTAGTGGCGATGACAATCTTTGAATTTGTTCACTAGGGTAAATCAAAGAGTTAATACCTCCCCTAAAATACATTAGATATTTCCTGCGTTTTATCATAAAACTAAAAACTCGCGGGTTAAAACAAAAACAACCACATAAATCACATTAGATTAAAAACTATAAAACTTTTGTGTGAGGAACCCCCCAGTGGCACAGCGGTATGTCTGCAGACTTTCAATGCTAGAAACCGGGTTTCGATACCCGTGGTGGGCAGAGCACAGATAGCCTTTGTGTAGCTTTGTGCATAATTAAAAACAAACAAACAGACAGCTTACCTGTAGAATGGCCCTGCATTTTGTCGTTACATTTTGTTTCGGGGTTAAAATGTCTTCAAACCGCCTTTGATGTATTGTCATATGAAGGACTGAATGTTAATACGGCATGCAAGACATTTCCTGAGGTTATGAACAGTAACTCAAATTACTAAATTGAGTCAACATGATGATAGCTGAACTCCAAAATTTATCATCCACTGTTGCCCGTATACACAGCGTGCTTATTTATCATCCACTGTTGCCCGTATACACAGCCTGCTTATTTATCATCTACTGTTGCCCTTATACACAGCGTGCTCATTTATCGTTCATTGTTGCCCGTATACACAGCGTATTATTTATAATACACTGTTGCCCGTATACACAGCCTGCTTATTTATCATCTACTGTTGCCCTTATACACAGCCTGCTTATTTATCATCTACTGTTGCCCGTATACACAGCGTGCTCATTTATCATCTACTGTTGCCCGTATACAC